CTAAATGTAAGAGCTAAAACTGTAAAACTCTTAGAAGGAAACACAGGTGAAAATCTGTGTGACCTCAGATTTAGCAATGTTTTTTAGTTATGACACCAAAAGCACAACAATCAAAGAAAAGGTAAATTGAACTTCAATTCATCACAGCAGAAAACTTCTATGTATCATAGAACACTATCAAGAGAGTGAAAAGACAACCCAAAGACTGGGAGAAAATATTTGCAAATCATACACCTGATAAGGGCCTATTATCCACAATAAATAACTCTTACAAGTCAACAAAATAAGACAAATGACCAAAAAAAAGTAAGTAAAAGATTTAAACAGACATTTCTCCAAAGTAGATATACAAATGGCCAACAAGCCCATGAAAAGGTACTCAACATCACTGGTCATTAGGGAAATGAAAAATCAAAACAACAATGACAAACCACTTCACACCTAGTAGGATGGTAATAACAATAATAATAACAGTAATATATAATAATAAGTGTTGGAAAAATGTGAAGAAATTGGAACCTATATGCATTGCTAGTGGGAATATAAAATGGTGTGGCCATTGTGAAAAGTTTGGTAGTTCCTCAAAAAAATAAACATAGAATTACCATATGATCCAATAATTCCACTCCTGCATATATATCCCTGAGAGAATTAAAAAGCCACATTTACTGAAAGGCTTGTACACAAATATTCATAGCAACATTATTCATAATAACTCAAAAGTAGAAATAATCAAAATGTCCATCAGCTGATACTGTATTTTAAAAATGTGTTCTATCCATACAATGGAATATCATTCAGCCATATAAAGGAATGAAGTACTGTTACATGCTACAACATAAATGAACCATTACGCTAACTGAAAGAAGCCACAAAGGGCCACATATTGTGTGATTTCATTTATGTGAAATGTCCAGAATATGCAAATCCATAGGGAAAGAAAGTAGACTAGTGGTTGCCAGAGGATGGAGGTAGGGAGTAGATAGCTGGGACTAACTGCTAATAGGTAGGGGTTTTGTTTTGAGAGTGATAGAAACGTTCTGGCATTAATTAGTGGTGATGGTTGCACAAGATAGTGAACAACACAGTAAAAACCATAGAAGTGTACATTTTGAAAGCATGAATTTTATGGTACATGAAGGATATCTTAAGTTTTTTAAATGTTATAAATAAAAAGAAACTTCATATGCTTAAAAATAGTTAAGGTGATACATTTTGTTCTGTAAATTTTATAATTAAAATTTTTTTTAGTTAAAAAGGAACCCAAATGTTAAGCCTAACAGTTCAGAGATCCTTAAAAAAATAAAACAAAACAAAACAAAAACACTCTGATCATTAGAAATCATGCTAAATGCACCAATATGGTAGTTGTGGATCATCTAACTTTCTTTTCCTGTCTTTAAGAGTTAAAAGTTCTAGGAAACCCCTGAACCCTAATATAATAATGGTATGTGTGATAAATTGCATATACACTGACTCCCCGAATGGAAATGACAGTTGTTCTTTCATTTATGAATAGCACTTATTATATACCTCAAGCACAGTGCAATAAAGGCCTATATTTGACTTTAAAATTCATAGTAAAAGGAATTTATCCTGAAATTTTTATTATACTTGTTTCTCTGAACACAAGTTTAATATACCTTTAAACAGTGTATTTTTTTTTTAATTGCTTTGAGTTCCTAGTAAAACGTAAAAAATGAAGAGGCTCATCTCTGAGACCTTTAGAAAGGAAAACACTAGCTCATCATCAGGTCAATGTCTTTAAATGAATTCATGTTATTGGCATTGCTTTACTTAGTCCTTTGCTATCAGAACAGTCAAAAGATACCTTCTACTGAGAATGAGAAATATACAACAATCTTATATCCTTTCAGAAATAATAAACTGGAAAATTCAAAGCATTTCCTCTTCCCTTTGACTTCTAGAAGCTCGATATGGCTTTTATCAATATGGTCGATATTAAATCAACCACATTGTCAGTAATGACCAGCACACCTGGATTAAAGCAGGATGCAAATTGGCGGGTAAAATATCAATTACATTTTGTTTTTTATTTCATACTGGACAGGACTATCCAGAGGCACACTCAACAGGTAGCAGTGGGAGCGGCCTACCCTGCATGAAGGCAACAAGGGTGTGCAAGGTCAGTAAAGAATTCTAAAATAATAAATAAAACCAACCAAAAGTCAGTTTGCTTTTTATTATCACCATGAACCAGCAATTCTAAACAACGTCAGTGATACTCTGGCTTCTCTTCAGATCGTATAAATCTTTTGCCTTTTACTAAACAATGTCAGTGATAAAATACTTCTCTCTACCAGGGCAGACTATTACTCCCATGACCCCTGCCCTTGGTATGCTAATGCTCCTATCAAAACATTATAAATTCTGTGTGTGTGTACACCACACACATATACATATATGTATATACATACATAAATGCTTTGAGGAAATATATATATATAGTCTAACACTTCGATAGCTTCCATGTTAGTCACTGCACAGATGCTTCTATTGACTTAAAGGAAATGAGAAAATACGTCAATATTCTTCAGTAGAGCATGACTTTTTCAGATGAATAGTCAAAATCATTAATCCATTTAGATAATCAAGTTGGCAGCTGCTGTTTACAAGGTAAATCAAAACACCGTGAACGTACATCATTTACTGTTTTGTCATTTCTATAATTCTTTAGTTAAAGAGGAATTACTAGTAATTTAGACTTGGTAGAGTAATTCTTAATGAAAACGTTAATTAGTAAAGCATTAGTTCACAAACCTGCCGTAGCCAACTCATTTAGGAAGTAAAATATTTCTAGGGCATTTGGGATATGTAAGATCTTTAATTATATAAATAAAAAGCTGAATATATTTGATTTAGAATCAGATTCTCCAATTGTGTCACATATATTTAAAGTATAAATTGTTCAAGAAAAATGAGATGTGATATTTGGGTCCTTATTTGGAAAGAAAAATTAGAAATGAGGCATAAAAAAAATCCTAATCAACATTAAACACAACACTGATGACAGCACTTACCTAATCCTTCAGATTCAAAGAGGTAAGTCTCATCAACCCCAACATGCCTGCACCAGTGAAGGAAGTTCGCGGTATTGTCTCTAGCAAAGAATGAACCTGAGGCAGCATCTTTCTTACAGGGCACTTTTCTCATTGGAAAATTCTGGAAATGACAAAAGGATAACTTCAAAAATGCATCAAGATATTTTCATTAGATATTAATTTTAATATTACTAAAGAAATGGTAAGTGCATTGACTGTAACTAAAAAGTTATACTTTGGGGGGGAAAGTATCTTCAAAATTATTTTATTTTATTCTCCTTTATTAAGTATATTTTAGACAAAGATTCCTAGGAAAACATTCTGGTCAAAATAAGCAATAGGATCATGCATCGCTAACCTCTCTGAAATGACACGAGAATCTTTTAAATTTAAATTTAATTTAAATAAAAAATGAGTCTCCTAATTCCAAAGTATATCTGTATGTCTCTTCGTATGTAGTTCAAAACAAACACAAAATTTACTGCTATGTTAAAGATTAACGCACACTCACATTTGCTTACTTCCTTATTTGCAGATTCATAAATGTGGTTCCAAGTTTCCTGAGGAGACTATCAAATAAGGAAGTAATAACCCACACCTAATTCAAGTTCTTTGAAAATTGATGATCTAAGTTTTGTAGAATCTTAATTTTTTGACTGTCTGGACCAAGAGTATCTAGATAATCCTGCTGAGGCTGGGGGGTTTTTAGTTTTCTTTTAGTTTAAATTTTTTACTTGAATAAGCAATTCATGCATATGATTTTTTAAAATGCAACAGCACAGCAGGGTATAAGTCTTTCTCCCACCTCTACCTCTCAGTCCCCCTCTCTGCCTAGAGATAACCACTATTACCAGTTCCTTACGTATCTTTCCTGTTGCTTTCATTTTCTAAAATTAAAATAGCTGTGTGAGTTTTTCTAATGTACACAGATTATATGATCATGCAAAAATTTAAAAAGTAAAAGTCAAACAATGCAGCCAAAGAAGAAGATGGTCAGTACCAACCAAAATCCTCTCACCCACATTTTAGCAAGACATCTCTAGGCACAAGTATACACTTGGTACATATCTTTACCTACAGAATGTCATAAACATACTATGCTGAAATCTGATTTGTGTGTGGATGTGTTCATGCACACTTAACAATAGGTTGTAACAGTCATTTCTAATGAATGAATGGATAATATTCCACTGAGTTAATTAATTTTTAACTTGTCTATTGATGAGCATTTAGGTTGTTCCTAATTGTTTCATAATAGTTTATGTGAATTTGTGATGTTTTTCTTATAACAAATTCCTGGAAGTAGAATTGTTATGTATCACAGGATATGCTTTATTTTCAATGCAATATATATCACTCACTGTCCCCCAGAAAGGTGATACTGCTTTATACTTCCACCAACATGGTGTAAGTGTCCAGACCCCACATGAAAACACCCATGTTTGATGAAAAGAGAAAAACTTATCTACTTTAAATCACAGCTTGAAGGTCAACAGATGAAAACTGGCTAAAAAATTATTATTTATTCAACCAATATTTATAGAATATACCCACCAAGACCATATATGAAGAATGTACAGATGATGATGATGAGGAGGAGGAGGAGAAGGAGGAGGATAACAGCTCCTCTGTGCCAGGAACCATCACAAGCTCTTTCTCATTTAACTCTCACAACAATCCGATATTATTGTTCTCAAGACGAGCTAGCTACTGGATATTTATGATGCACTAGGCATTAAACTAAACACCATCTACAGAGTATCTCATTTAATTTCACTGAATCCTCACAAATAAATCCTACAAGGTAAATGTTAATACCTTCATTTTACAAGTAAGAATTTTTTTTGATTCTCAAAAAGATTAAGTAAATTATTCAAGGTCTTATGATAGTTGGGGTGGAAGTTTACAACCTTGTAGAGATAGGAAGAAATGTACATAAATAAACTGGATGTACCAAGGTATAAAAATCACTACTGTCAAATATTGACCTACCCCTGGTTCTTCAGAGTTGCATGTTTTCACCATGTGTTGAAGAACATCAATCAGTTGGCATAACAGTACTCCATTATCCAGCTCTTCCAATAATCTTTCTGCCTTAAGTTCGATACCTAAAAACATATTTCAAAGTTAAGGTTCTTCTACAAACTGTAAATTCAAACAATATAGTTAAAATTTAATTAAATGTAATCAGGTTAGGGTGGCCATACTAGACAAATATTAGATCAGACTATAATCATTTACTTAGAAGATACAGTTAAAACAGCAGAGAATTTCAAATTAAAAAAAAAGGCAACTGAAACAGAAATACTGGTGATGTAAAGTGCAGAAAAAATAAAGAAAACTGACATGTATTTTATTTCATTTTAAAAAGACCAAAGTGCTTTATATTTCAATATTCACTATTGAGGTTAATTCTGATTCACTGCACATGACTACTGCTTACACAAGAAAATTTCTCTATAAAGAAAATGGACTTTTCATTTTAAAAATTAAAGACAGGTAACAAACACCCAGGGAATACCAACTTTTCACCTCTAAAATACTTCTTTAGAGGCTTTATTACATAATAAATGTTTAAAAAATTTTCCAAATCAAACTAATGCCAGGTATCTAAAGTGAGTGCTTGCTGTGTTTTTAACTGTCTTGAGAAGGCCAAAGATGAGCTTTATGTATTCCTTTCCACAAAAACCTTGCAATGCTATTATGCACTTCTGTATTAAAAAGAGAATTTTCTTCTGCAGAGAAAGTTCAGAGCACTTCTCAAATTCTTTAACCAAGGAAAGCAATATGATGGCAGGCATTCTCTAACCTGTCGTTTCCTCCTGGGTTTCATATACCTCTACCCATTAATGAGGAAGAGTCATCCTTTTAACCACAGTATAAATTCCATTCAGAATCTCATGCCTCATCCAAGATTAAGGAAAAAGGAATCAGTAAAATATAGATCCCAAAAGTAGACCCATATACTTTAAAAAAAGATTTTAATATCAACAGTGAAAATGTTGATTATTCAAAGCTTAATGCCCTCTTCTGTTAAACCTCAAACTTTCCTACTATTCAAGCCCTAAGGGTCAGGGTGACACAGAAGCTCCTCAGCAAGACTATAAGCTTTGTAAGAACATGGACACTGAATATTTCAGTATCATAAGCATCTAGAACACTCGCTCCTTGGCGAAGAATAAGGCTCTCAATACAGAGTTCCTGCATATGAGAATACACTTTTGAGGATCTTCTCAAGCCTTACCTAATAAACCGGATAACCAGATTGACAGGTCCTCTTGCATGGGCAACAGGGTGGCTTCGTGCCTCACAGCTATCCACTCATCATACTGACACACGTCAGCCAAGCCTGGCCCATGTCTGGGGGTCAGAGGACTCCGTGGACTGAGGGGCAGGTCTTCTCCAAACCATACCTGGAAAAAAACCCCAAACAAATGAATGGAGGCAGAAATATATGAACTGGAAGCAAGCCATTAGACTAGATACTAGACTATTAGTCTAGTATTCAACATTCAATACTGTGGCAAAGGTAAGTGCATTCCTAATTAATGAACAGATGCTACTATCAAATCAAGAGGATAAAAGTCAACAAATAATATTTTTACTTCACTTGTTCAGTGAGTAAGTTTAACAAGTTAACCCGAGTTTCAGCATCTTGGCTGTAAAATGGGTTAGTGATACTTGACTTACAAGATACATCTTTGTAACATCTAGCACTGGGCCTAGCAACGTTTGTTAAACAATGGATAAATGATTGAATGAATGCATAAATGGCATTTTGTAAACTTTAAATCATAATGAGGGTGTTACTAAAAAGAATTCTAAATAATCTGGTCTGTCATTTGATTTTGCATGGTCCACAAGCTAAGTATGGTTTCTACATTTTAAAACGAAATGGGTTGTTATGTAAGTACCTACATAATAGCATCGATTTTGCCTATTGACTCACAAAGACAAAAATATTTACTAGCTGGACAACCCTTGGTTTAGAATAAAAATTGACATAAACATACTATCAAGCCAACACTTGAAAATTTTTAAATTTTGCAAAAGCTTTAATACAAGGTTATTTAGAGAAAAGACTATCAAGTCTCAATTCAGAACGGGGTATTAGAGCCCAAGCGAAGTGATAAAGGGGTTCTTGCAGGAGAGTAGCTTGAAATGGAGGGTCAGAGCTTGAATAAGGTGAGAGGGTGTCCACACATGAGGACAGCCCTGTGCGAGTGTCAGCCCCCAAGTAGGATAAGGAGGCTGTCCCCTGGGGATGAAGGGGGAACGCCCCAGTGCAGGGTGTCAAAGCTCAAGTGAGCCCACAGGACATCGTGAGCTCAGGGCAGGGGTGGCAGCAACAACGGAAGACTGGTTGGACATCCATGGAGATTTCTAAATCTCAACGGAAGACATCCATGGAGACTTCTCAAGTGGGAGCCAGGTGTTTCATTTCTAAAGAAGAGCGGTGCAAATAGGGAATGAGAGAAAATCAGAATGGATCCTATGGTGTTAAAATGGAATTTCTTTTACCAGAAAGCAAAGAAGTACTCCAAGAATGATGAATACATGCCAAAAGGGCACAGAAGCCAGCCTGAAGTGACTTCTATTGGCTAAATGAAGAGCAATTTGAGCATCAAAATGTTATAAATTAATGATATAAACACTGAATACAATAGACAACTATAAATCCAAAGATATAAACAAATGAATAAACTGGAATTTTGATCAGGACTGGAATTTTTACATCGTTTCAAAGTACTTCCCCATAAAATACTTATTACAAAGGAAAAAAAAAGTAATTTTACAGTGGAGAAAGCTGACAGACGGCCTCTTAACCAAGAGACGGAAGTGAACACTATCAGTAATGACAAATGAACATCTCACGCCACCTGACAGGACAGGATGAGGGAGGAAACACAGCAGCCCTCTGTGCAATTCCTGCCCAAGGTTCCTCACCTGAATCTAATCATGAGAAAACCTCAGGCAACTCCAAACTGAGGGACATTCTACAAAATAACTGATCTGTAATATTATAAAGGGTCAAGGTCATTAAAGACAAAGCAGAGGCTGGATGTTGTCTCAGACTGATAATGACAACTACATGAACGCCATGATTCTGAACTGAACATTATCGGGACAACGGGCAATATTTGAACATGGTCTGAGTATTAGATGGTCGTACTATACCAATGTTAATATCCTGATTCTGATGAGTGCATGTGTGGCTGTGGAGGAAGACGTCCTTATTTGTGAGAAACGCACACTGAAGTATGTGGAGGTGATGGAACATCACATTGCCAACTTACTTTGAAATGACTCAGACAAACAAGTAGCTCTGTACTATACTTACCAGTTACTTTGTAGGCTTGTGATTGCTTTAAAATAACATTTTTAGAAGTTTAGAAAAGAAAAGTATAAGTACAGGTGATGCCAAGTATTCTTACTTACTTGATTTTTTAAAATAGCTAACTGTCCACCTAAAACATATTAAAGTTACTGAGGCTTATTTAAGTCTTGCTACACCAAATCAGAAGCCATAAAACCACCACAGTTAATCCAGACAAACTTGGGAGAAAACAACAACTGTTTCTAATCTCCCATGAGAAACAAACATGCTTTAGAAAAAATCTTAACATGCTTAAACAAAAGAGAGGGTGGGGCAAAGAAAGAACATAAATATACAGCACAAGAGGCAAGCAGGAGTAGCAAAACTCGGTAAAAATACCCAATAAGAAGAGACATATGTCATTTAAGGGACATTATTTCAAGAATTAAAGATAGAGATTGGGGGGCCGGCCGAGTGGCGCGATGGTTAAGAGCTGGCTTGGGATGCCAAAGATCC